TGAACCAGAACGATGAAGGATCAGGATACAGTGCACCCGAAGTTTCTATGTCTGGTCAATATTCTATGCAGAGTGATGTTTACAGTTTCGGGGTAGTAATGCTTGAACTTTTAACCGGGAGAAAGCCATTCGACAGGTACTGTGAGCATGTCCGGCTAAATTGCTAAATAGAGAAGCATCATAACCAACCATTGCTAACGGTTTGTAAACATGATCTTACAGTGCGAGGCCGAGGTCTGAACAGTCATTGGTCAGATGGGCAACACCTCAGCTCCACGATATCGATGCTTTGAGCAAAATGGTCGATCCAGCTCTCAAAGGGCTTTACCCGGTTAAGTCTCTCTCCCGTTTTGCAGACGTTATCGCCCTCTGTGTCCAGGTAATGATGATGCATTCAGGCTATACACTAAAGTTCATACAACAAATCCCCTACATAATGCCCATGACTCAAAAATCCACATGCAGAAGAACCTGACAAGTTTTGAATGTGTTTTGGGATTTTGTGATGACAGCCTGAGCCAGAGTTCAGACCACCAATGTCAGAAGTGGTTCAAGCTTTGGTGGTTTTGGTGCAGAGAGCTAATATGAGCAAGAGAACCATCGGAGTCGATCAATCTCAACGCTCCGGTAGCAACGAGGCTAACGACTACATGTAAATTCCTTACCGGAAAAAAAAAACAAACCTATACTCTTACCTTTTTGCATCTTTGCTCGGATTCTGGGTCGGATAAAGTCAGAGACAGGGAGACAGAACAGAGTTTTTGTTTCACGAAACTGAAGAAAACATCACAATTCCCAAAGCCATTGTACAATCCCATGCCCTCTTGTAATATGTTCCCTGTTTTCTTGAGCTTTTTATATACATTCCAACAAGAACATCATCCCCTTTGTGTAACCCCAAGTCGGTTTCCCTTGTCTTTTTTTTTCATTGTCTGTCTCTTCCTGTCTGGTGTTGGACTCCCAAAGAATAATATAAAAATAAACAAAACCCAGAATGTAGATGGGTTTCCAAGAAAACAGAGAGAACTCTATAATCATTCCTTTCGCCTTGAAAAACAGAAGTTAATAAAAATGCATTCAGGCTAGTTTCTTCAGACATGGCAATAAATGAAACTCGAGAAGACAGGTGTTCCGACCGGAAGTACATAAAAAGGTACAAAGAGACAAGGAAGCAGGCCAAGTTTAATACAAAAGTATTCAACTTTTTAATTGTAGACCATGTACTTTGGAGTTGCACTGAACTTCTGATAACCCTTAATCACTTTGTTCACAGCGTCCAGAAAATCCTTCTCAGTCACCGTCTTCCTCCTTGCCCTGATCGCAAACATCCCGGCTTCTGTACATACGCTCCTGATATCGGCTCCTGCCAAAACGAAACCGGAATCCAAAAACACATTCCAGAGATTCTATGTAACATACCTGATAAAGAAGAAACGGTTCCGAATGGGAAGAACTTTTTCAGAGAAACAGATCATATACCGGTGGAGTTGGGACAAAGCCGAGCAAGCAGTTCAAATCGGATGTCCCTTTCACAATTCATGGTCCGTGTATGAATCTTGAAAATCTGCGTTCTACTTTCCATATCAGGAAGCCCGAATTCTACCTTACGATCAAGACGTCCAGGACGTAAAAGGGCAGGGTCTAGTGTGTCGGGCCTGGAGACAGCCAAAAAAAAAAAGAGAGAGAGAGAGAACAGAGGCACCACCCATGGAGTCAAGCACTGTTATTTGGGCATCAAAGATTAAAAACACGAGGAAGCGACTTAAACCTGTTTGTTGCCATAAGAACCTTGATGTTTCCACGAGCATCAAACCCGTCAAGCTGATTCACAATTTCAAGCATTGTACGCTGGACTTCATTGTCACCACCTACTCCATCATCAAATCTCGCACCACCAATGGCATCAACTTCATCAAAGAACACAATACACGCTTTTTTGGAACGGGCCATCTGCAAGCAGATACCACAACAAATCAGAACATAGTAAGCAGCTAAATGAGCAGCTGAGACAGCAAAATGTGTCGGTGGTTCATTACCTGAAACAGTTCACGCACCATCCTAGCTCCTTCACCGACATACTTCTGAACAAGTTCACTGCCTATAACCCTGATGAAGCAAGCATCGGTTCTATTTGCCACAGCTCTAGCCAGAAGTGTTTTACCAGTTCCAGGAGGACCGTAGCAGAGAACACCCTTGGGAGGATCAATACCGAGCTTGACAAATTTCTCGGGATGAAGCATCGGTAGCTCAACGACCTAGATCAGTAAAAGATTACAAATCATCTCTAAATTGTTCATTACAACCAACTGTTTAAAGAGTAGGCCTGAGTCTAATTAAACAAAAGATATCAAGGCACCAAGTAGGAATAAAAAAACTCGAACATACTTCCCGCATCTTCTCAATCTGCTCCTTGCATCCACCAACATCATTGTACGTCACATCAGGTTTCTCTTCGACAGTCATCATGGTCACACTAGGATCAATTTTTGGAGGTAGAGGAATCTGTATCTGATACTTATTCCGATCAACTCTGCGAACGCAAACAACATTGATAAGTCTCATCAGTTATAAACTACAAGAATAAATGAAGACATGAAAAAGATCAACAAAGATAAAGCAGGTACAGTAATGGCAAGTAACATATAAGGATACAGCAAAAGCTGCTAAAGGAGCAAATCAAATCCCTAACAAACAACAACACATACCCCACACGCATTCCTTCTTCAATGTCAGTAGGAGAAACCTTATCACCAAGACCTACAACAAACTGCAGTTAAGACAACCGAAACATAATTAGCAACCATCGCAGTGAAGAGGCTCTAACAATGACACATTTTATTATATTGTCGTATTGCAAGCCTCCACTGAGGCATTTTTATACGAACATACCTTTGCAATCTGCTTGACGTTGATCACATACTTGGCATCTTCAGTGTTTGGACTTATTATCTTTGTACATCTTGCAACCTGGACAGCAAGAATGTGTAATTTAAGGCCCTTATATTACCTTCAGAAGACAAGTATATCCAAGAGATGTCTTTTGGGAAGAATGAATACCTGAAGGGGCTGTTCCTCTTGCATCATCTGCTTATCTGAGACGAGATCCCATTGACTGGGAGGGGCCAACCCAGTGTCAGACTCCTTGATGCCTGCATTTAAGATGGAAAAAAGGTCGTTGCGGTTTTATACTTTTCTATGACCAATCCAGAACAGTTCAGTCATGCCACAGAAATCACAGAGAATAGCTAACTGAATGCCAAAAGCAGCAATTGGAAGACATACCACAGAGATCATTGATCTTCTTGGCAAGGTCCTTTATTTCTTTCTCAGTTTTCTTAATGGGAGCTGAGTAAGGCCCCAACCCCTGCAAATCAATTAGATTCATCAACTCTGCAAGCATGACAACATAAAAACACTGGAAAAAAAAATATGCAACCAGAAAAGTAGTACCCACTAACTACACAATTTCCAACCATTGTAAATGTACAAGACAGAGTGAACAAGATACCATGAAAAGGGAAATTTCAAGCTTACAACTCGATTAAATATTTATGAGGCAGGAGTCAGAAGACACAGCTCACGCAACCAAACTCCAAAACACCGACAGGAGAAAAGGATAATACTACCCATTAAGTTGACAGGCTCATTAGAGGGTCCCTAATCCAAAAAATTCACAATACATTCATCTAAACCTGAAGAGAAACCTGAATTCGACCCAAATCGCTATGCTCATCAGTCACAACTCGCCCGACTCGTAAAACCATTATCACCCTACAATCCCGCCGACAAAAGGATAAATCTTGCACGACGAACTCACAGCAGAAATCAACCCGATACCGAAAGAGATAAAACCAGACGTATGTTACCCAAAAGTAAACAGAGACCGAACCGACAGTCCTCCAAACTAAAGCTAGAAACTTGGATTACCACACAACGTCAAACCAAATGGAAACTGAAATAAACTCCATAGCTAACAACGCAACTCGAATCTGGGATACCAGACGATCCAGATATAGAAATTCGAACAAGCTAAGCTGAAAAGAGAATTAGGGTTCTGCAGTCGTACATAAGTCTTGAGGAGAGCGATGTCGTCTTCGTCGAGCGGACGAGGGTTCTTCTCATCTCTGATCTCATCCTCAATATCTCTCGCCATTTGATTTCCTACGGATTTCGGATCGATGACGGAGAAGTGAAAGAAAGACCTTCAAGAATGACGATCTTCCGTGCCGGAGAGGAAATATAAAGAGAATTTTTTTTTTCCTCCTTTTTCTTCTCTGCGGCGTAGCGGCGAAGAATCGTCACGTGCCGGTCACGTGCAATTTGGGCTGCTAGTTTTGGTTAATGGGCCACTTTGGGCCATATTAATTTATGCCCAAGGGGGTGGATAATCCACCAGAAATATCCGAAAATTTAATTTCAAAAAATCTATTAAAAACTATTTTTTTAACAAAATAAATAAATAAATAAAATTTTCTAAAATATGGGCCCATTAGCCCAATATGACGCAACTCGGGTCGGGTTCTCGTTATCCACCGCCTCCTGGTTCCTCCTGCAACTATCCGCCTGTTTAAAAAAAAAACTTGTATGGATGTGTGGCTTATACATCACTACATCTCTCTCTCCGCAAGTCTCTTCATCGTTTTGTGCATAATCTCCTTCCACTGGATACTGTTTCCGACATCGATACACGGCTTCGAGTTTCTTCTTCTTCTTCTTTGGTCTGATTTTTCCTTTTTCTCTCTCTGGACTGAATGAGCTCCCTATGCCTTCCTTGGGTACGTTCCCTCGGAATTCTTACGGTTTGTCGCGTGTTTTGCTTTTACGAATTTGTTTATTTTATTGGTTTGAATGGTACCTCAGTTTGAAACCCTTTGTGCTGAATTTGTCTCTGGCATGATCAATTTCCTTCTATATTGTTCACATTCGTTTTACAAATGTTGTTTTTGGCTGGTTTCGTTTGCTGGGTTCGTCCAGTATTGGCTCTGAATGGCCCTCTTGAAACTATAGCTTGCCCATTGCAGTGGTGGAAACGAGGCTATGCTTTGAAATTTTCCATTTTTCTTGGTTTTGTCCCGTGTTTGCTGGGTTCTTCCAGTATTATAAGCATTGTTTAACAAAGTTTCTGGATTAGTCTGAATTCAAGTTTAAGGTGGATAGGATGACCTTTCAGCTCCTAGTTATGCTCTCTGGTTTGATCTCTTGTGTATGTTTCCACCATGGAAGCAAAAAGTTCGTGCTTTGTTTATCAGATTCTTGTTTGGAACGTTCGAGTGAATAAAGGATATGCATTTCAATGTTCCTGCGGTGATGTTTCCTGTCAAAAGCATGTCAAGTGTTCTCACTGGAAATATTGTTATCTCTTATGTTTTCTCTCCTCTCGTTTCAGTGTTCCTATGTGCGGATTCTTGCTGAAGATATACTGTTTTGATGGTTCCTATACCCTGATGCTTAATCTTGCAGATATAGCTGCTGTTCAGCCTTCCTTGCAAGCTCATCTTGTTCCATTGGGGGCTCAAAATATTATCCAGGCTAAAACTTTACCGAATCCATGGAAACAATCGCAGTTTTCTAAGCATTTGGAGCTCTATGCTGGGCATCACCACACCAGAGGATGCAAACTTATCATTGCTACAGTTGCCACAGTTGAAACCAAAAGCCGGGTTCAGAGAGAAACAGAACCAAGCGGTTCACTGGTGTCGCCTTGTCCAAGCATCTCGAGCAATCAAAATGGAAACACTGTTGACGAAGATGTGGAACAAGTGGATGAAAGAGAAAGGTTGAGAAGGATGAGGATTTCCAAGGCAAATAGGGGGAATACCCCTTGGAACAAAGGCAGGAAGCACAGTCCAGGTGAGATGTTTGTATATACTGTTGGAGAATTCTCTCTGTCTTTGCTTCCAGTTTGGAACATTTTAGCAGTATTTCTTTTATTGCCGTGTGCAGAAACCCTTCAGAAGATTAGAGAAAGAACAAAGATTGCAATGCAGAATCCAAAGGTGATGTCATGTAAGAATGGTTCTATATGTCTTCCTAGAAGAGTTGGCCATGATGTGTCTCGTGGATTCATAACCCGAACCATGCGTCAGATTATTCCCGCTACATGTTCTCTTCTGCTGTCAGCCTGTCATGTTTTCTTTTCAAAGATAAAACTTGCAGAATTATAACCCTAAAATATAGGTATTCATCAAAGTTTGAAGAGTCCAAGGAACCATAATTGTTAGTGTATTCGGTCATTTGTGAGTGCTTTATTCGTCTAAACAAGTGTTCTTCCCATGTTTTCTTGTGCAGATCAAAATGAAATTGGCGAGTCTTGGGCGTGCACAGAGGTCACTCTATTATTGTGCTTCTAACTTGTTGATATTCATAGGTTTTCCTTTGGCTGTGTCACTGTAACACTATTCTCCGATTTTGCATGGCTTCAACAGCAAGGAGACGAGATTGAAAATTGGGGAAGGAGTGCGGCAGCGATGGGAAAGGCGGAAAGAGGGGATTATGGTGCAGGAAGGCTGTCATTACGAGTGGCAAAACTTGATAGCAGAAGCTGCTAGAAAAGGATCTACCAATGAGGCAGAGCTTCAGTGGGATTCTTACAAGACCTTGGATGAACAGCTTCAACAGGAATGGCTCGAAAGCATAGAACAGAGGAAAGTAATGCGAGGGGGCAAAGGTAACAGGCGAGCTCCCAAGTCTCCGGAACAAAGACGGAAAATTGCAGAAGCCATAGCCGCTAAATGGGCTGATCCTGTAAGTTCCGTCTGGTATTTATTGAATCAAAATGCTCCAGTGTGTGTTCATGTCCATCCCTAATTTTGTTTCTTTTTTTTCTCTAACCAGGCTTACCGAGAGCGGGTTTGCTCTGGCTTGTTGAGATATCACGGAACATCTGATGGAACCGAGAAACGCAGGAGAAAACCTAGCAGCAATGCGGAACCCAGAAAGAGGAGCCCTGCAAAGAAAAGCAGGAGGAATGCGGAGAATTCTTCAGGAAGTGACAATCGAAGCCAAATTCAACTAATGAAACTGCGGAAACGTAAAACCCCCGTGTATAAAGATCCTTTCGCAAGTTCAAAACTGGAAATGATAAAGAGTATCAGAGCAAAGCGAGTAGCAGAAGAATCTAAGAAAATGGAAGCTGTAGATCGGGCAAGGTCCGTGACTTAGCCATCTAAACTCAAAACTTAACATGAATAGAGTGAAACAAAATTGTTAAAATTTCCTTGTGATATTTTTTTTTCTCCTCAGGGAACTGATTGCAGAAGCTGAGAACGCGGCAAAGGCACTCGAGCTTGCTGCAATGAAAAACCCAGTTGCTCAAGCATCGTTGTTAGAGAGTAGAAAGCTCATAGCCGAAGCAACCCAACTGATTGAATCTATAGAAGATGAGACATTCTCATCTGCTCTGCCAAATCAGCCAACTAGTCTTGTGGAGTTAAACATGGGCCCTCAGAACAGAGACACAAACAAACAGAAACCAGAAGGCATCAATGGAGCCCATTATATGTTCCAATTCACCATGAGCAAAGACAACTCCTGTATCACAGTGAACGGTAACAGCAAAAATCTTCTATTGAGCTCTAGGTCCAGTGATTTACAGCCATTCAGCTCTGAAGGTATGGCCAAGCAGTCTGTTCATGCAAAACAACTCAACGATGTCGAGGGAGACAGAGCTGTGAAACTCGGGACAAACCCTCACCCGAATGGAACCAGAGTTCTCCCCTCAGAACCGAACAGAACAGTTGGACTTCTGGAGAATCCTGTTCCAAACGGTACCAAAGTCCAGATCGCCGAGGAAAAGGTTGCACCTTTGAAACCAGGAGCCATAACCAGAAAATGGGTCCGTGGAAGACTGGTCGAAGTCACAGAAACAACCTAACTTTTGTCTGTAGGACATATCAGATCATCTAGAACTAAACTCAATAGTCGATCATATGTCAGATTCTAAAGCTGCAGGAGGTATGTATGTATGTGGCATCTGGCGACCCAGCAGAGGAAATGGTATCGTAAAATAGCTCGTAGTGATTGAAATTTTGGCATACAGTTTCATACTCGAGCAGCATTTTTTCCAGTTTGTAATGAGCCATTGTATCTACAACAGTAACTTGATCATTGTATGAAGAATTTCAGGTTAGTTGCCATTCATCTAGAACCATGTCTAAGTTTACAGAAAGTGATTCTGAAACCCAACTTTTTTGGCGGGGCAAAAAAAAGGGAACTCCGACAGCAATCTGGTACTGTCATTACTTTTTCCTCTCAACATCATTGCATTGTTCATCATTTTGCACAATCCATTGACAGTCACTGATCCAAATGCTGAACCTACAAAACCGGCATTCTAGCTTTTCATGAATAGGTAAAATGGGTTTGCTCTGTTTTATCAAATACTAATCTTCCCAAGGTTACTGCAGCAAAGTAGACAACAAGTCAAAACCAAACCGTGTTTGTTATGTCCCAAGTCCCAACTATGAAAAACTTATGAACCAGTCTTCTGAGTTCTGCTTCCCATTTTTGCCGTAACTTCTGCTCTTGGACCCCGCAAAGTCAAATCCTTTCTTATTTCCTATTGATTCAGAAATTTCACCAGTGGTCTTCCATGGCGGAAGTCGTCTTCCCTTTTTCTTCACGTTATTGTTGTCTTCTAGTCTTCGTCTCGACCATTATATCTGAATCTCTTCATCTTCATTACGTTGATTTTCTATAAAATCTGTGATTTTTTGGTGATCCATCAAGAGAATGCATCTGAGTTCTTATTAGTTTTGTCGTGTTCCCCTCTGTTCTCTTCTTTGTTCTTCATTATTCAAATCATCTTAGGGTTGACCGATCAATCTGAAATTCCTTCACTTTCCTTCTTCCTCGCAGAAGAATTCATCTGGGTTTTGCTTAATTTTCTCGAATTTCTCTTTAAAAGCATAAAAATCAAACCTCTATCTGTTTCGCCATGAACGACGAATCCTCCACCCAAAGCCCTATCTTCGGCAACAACATCGAAGGAGAAGAAATCATGGGAAGGGTAATACTGGTAGCAGTCGTGGTCCTTTTCATGGCGGTTCTCTTCGTCCTCCTGTTTCACCTCTACGCAAGGCTATTCTGGTGGCGCGTGGAACAACACCTCCATCGAACCCAGCACCGATCACAGTCCGATCCCGGTTCCACCATCATCGGTCGTCAACGACGTCGTTTCATCTTCGTGCAAGGCCAGGACCCTTCTCTCTCCTCCGGTCTCGACCCTTCAACCCTCGGCTCGATCCCTGTCGTCGTCTTCAAGCCACAGGACTTCAAAGACGGGCTCGAGTGCGCCGTTTGCCTCTCTGACCTCGTGGACGGCGACAATGCCAGGCTTCTCCCGAGCTGTAGCCATGGCTTCCACGTTGATTGCATCGACATGTGGTTTCAGTCTCACTCCACTTGTCCAGTTTGCAGAAACGTGGTTGGTTCTGTCGCAGGAATATCCGAACATAGAGATGATGGTTTGTCTCAGAATCTCCATGACTCATCCCAAGATCCGATTTTGGATTCTGGGTTTTCGACAGAACCGCCAAATTTTCCGACAAATGTGCTCGTGTGGGGAGACCAGAATCAAGTTAGTAGCGTTGGACTCTCGGTCGTTGAAGATACCGTGCAAGCAAATTCTTCAAACGAGCATCATCAAAGCCTGCTAGGTTCCGGCGACGGTACCGCGATTCCGGCGATGGTGGTGGTGGAGATTCCGGCGAACCCTAGTGAGTGTTTGCCGGCTACGACATCGACTAGATCCGTGGAAGAAGAATCTAAGTCTCGGGTGTTGGTTAGGCTTAGATCATTGAAGAGATTGTTGAGCAGAGAGAAGAGAGTTGCAGCCTGCGGTTCTAGTTCCAGTGGCTCCACCAATGTCTGAATTCGGAATTTCGAATGTTCGATATTCCGGAATGTAGAACGAATCCATCTGCTATCAAGAGTTCAAGATTCAGGAAGATTACTTCCGCCGCAAGAAACTAACTGGTTTTCGTTTGTTCACGAGACAGAAGTTAACAGTCCCTTTCTATGTTCTGCAAGAAGAGCAAGGAAAAAGATTCCATGATCTTCACAATATTATTTGTTGATACTATAATATAATAAATATCCATGAAGATTAATATGAGCTTATTAACATTTTCATATCCAAAATATAGGTAGTTCAACCGGTAAAACGAGACGTAAAATGTTTATCTCGTCCTGAATTCGAATCTTAAATTTTGGGAGAAAATGTATATTCCAAATCAATTGGCTAGTTTCCGACCAGTAATTAGTCTGAAACTTGATTAAGAATACTCGTTTAATAAAAAAACGTTTTCATGGCGGGGC